GTTAGGGGGGTGTTAGGGGGTTGTATGGGGGCGTTGGGGGGGTTGGGGGGGTTGTTCAGGGGGTTATTTGGGGTGGCAGGGTGCTGAGTCTGCCGACCCGACCCCCAACCGGTAGGTGCCGACCACCCCCGACCAATCCAGGGGTGCCGACCGTCGGCGTGACTACTCTGCGATTAGGCGAAAAAAACCTGCGACGAATGTGCAATAAGTTGTCTAGCGATACTCTTCAGCACTCGCATATCCCAAGGAGAAGCAGCTGGATGGACGTACCTTCCAAGGAGAATGAGTATGAAGTGAAGGGCAGAATGAGGTAAGCAGGTAAGGACTCAGGAGTAGATGGAACGCAGGAGGGAAGTAGGGTGGGAGCAGTAGGGGAAGAACACAATGACAGAAAGGAATGAAGCAGAAAATGAAAGAGAGAGGAAAGACAGAAGGAAGGAAAGAGCGAAGGAAAGAGAAAAGGAGAGAGAGAAGGAGAGAGAAGGAGAGAGAAGGAGAGAGAAGGAGAGAGAAGGAGAGAGAAGGAGAGAGAGAGGGAAGGAAAGAAAGAGCGAAAGAAAGAAGGAAAGAGAGAAGGAAAGGAGGAAGGATACAGGGGAAGCAAGAGTGAAGGAAAAAGACAAATAAAGAGGGAAGGGACAGGAGGAGGAAAGAGGGAGGGAGAGAAAGAGGAAGAGAAAAAAGTAAGAGATCAGACATTGAAAAGCAAAGGGAATGCATCATTCAATTTCCTATAGTCAGTCTTTTTCCCCGGAGAGGTCGGTAATGACAGAAAGGAACAAAGGGAAGGAAAGAGAAAGAGGGAGAGAAAAATGAAGAGAAAGAGAAGTAAGACAGAGAAAAAACAATGGCATTTTTCATTCCAACGGCCCCTCTTTCCCACCCTTCCCTCCCCCACCCCGCCAACTAAGAATGGCCTGAACCCGTATCAGTACGCAGGCGATGGGGAGCAATAAGAAGGGATAACCAAAAGAGAGAGAGAGAGAGGAGGGAGGGTGGGAAAGAAGCAAGGAGCCCCACATAAGCAAACTGCAGTCCTTCACGGCTGTACTTGCTCCAAGAACACACACACACACACACACACACACACACACACACACACACACACACACACAAAACAAAAAAAAAGCACAGCCCAACGATGACGAAAAGCAGAGTTCTAATGAACAGAAAGCTGCTCGTCAACACCGCCGCGTCAGATTTGGGTCCAGATCTTACCTCCATTTGGGTCAAGTCTATTTGCTGGCTGACAGGCTACATTACCAGAGTGACCCAGGACCAGTTGCCCGGCTGGGCCAAATGAATAAAAATAAATAAAAATAATTTTATTTCATTTTTTTGGCAAAGAATTTGAATGTGACCCCAAGGCACATTCAAAGTTGTTCAGTTTATTTTTCCGCACAACATCGTTTTTTTTTCAGTTTTTTTTTTTTTTTTAATACAGGGACATTCCCAGGCCCTTGCCCAGCTGGACCACCCGGACAACCAAGGTGACCTCGGCAGCCCAGGTGGTAATGCAGCTGACAGGGCAAATCAGCAATAATTCCCAGACCTGTCAAATTGTGAATATTCCATCTGCTGCTCAGAAAGCCAGACAAATCCAAACCATTGACGACGATCTTCGCTCAAATAGAAACTGCACTGCACTATACAGACCTTTTCTTTGTGGCTGAACAGCACACACATGTAACTTTTAATAATTGCTTAAGCAGACCCGAGTTCATACTACAGCAGATTCCATAATATCAAGGGCCAAGTCAATAAATAAATATATATATATCGTCAAATAGAACTGCCCGGTAAACCGTAGGCAGAGAGGGAGAAGAGGACAACAAACGAGGGGCTGTGACAAACTGTTTCGTCGGAGTTTCACCGACTATATATATATATATATATCATCAAACAGAACTTCCCAGTAAACCATCGGCAGAGAGGGAGAAGTGGACTGTGACAAACTGTTTCGTCGAAGTTTCACCGACTTGTCAGGAGGCTGAACCTATAAGAAACAGTTCGTCACAGCAACCCTCATTTGCTGTCCTCTTCTTCCTCTCTGACTACGGTTAACCAGGAGGTTCTATTTGACGATATATATTGCCGATATATATGTCGTCGAACAGAGCTGCCCGGGTTTCACCGACTCATCAGGAGGGAGAAGAGGACAACAAACGAGGGGCTGTGACAAACTGTCTCGTCGGAGTTTCACCGACTCATCAGGAGGCTGAATATACAAACAACCAGGGCACTGCCTAGCACTGCTTCCCACGTAGCAGCAGGCCTCCAATTCAGTCGTATGCAAGATGGCGGGGATACACGGTCAGTTACGGCAGTCAAACGCATTCACAAAGGATTTGACACCCGAAGAACGAGCCGACTGCTCAGAAAGTGAAATTTCAACTCCAAGAAGAAGAAAGAAACTAACCCGTCATCTCCACCCTGAGGATTACTCACCTGCAGGCGGCACTGAGGCTCGTCTGCCATCAGATCGTGCACCATTTGGAGGTAAGCGGGCCTCCTGGCTTGCCAGGGGACAAGGAACCGGCCACTCAGGCCGCCAAAGGATTGGCAAATTGAAAGGAGACGCAAAGCAAGAAGGACAAAGGGGGGAGGAGGGAGGAGGGAGGAGAAAGGCATAAGGAGTAAGGGGTAAGAGAGAAAACCTTTCTTATTCGCATTTATTTAATTGCAGTGCCTGAAAAGGACAGAGTTGATGAACAAGCGCTCACTCACCTGCAGGCGGCAGCGGGGCTCTTCTGCCGTCGGATCATGCACCATCTGGAGGGTAAGTGGCCTCCTTGTCCCCATCTCTACCTCTCTGACGTTGAAACGGAACCCAAGCAAAGCCTCCAATAAAGAGCTCTTGCCATCGGATTGACCACCAATCGCAATGATCTCAGGAATTGGAAGCTTCTCCCCAAATGCCACTGCTGCTGCCTGGAAAAGCAAAAAAAAAAAGCAAAAAAAAAAAAAAAAAAAAAAAGGGGATTTGACAAAGATCATATTCACAGTGTGGTAGCATACACACACGTAGAAACATTGTTAGTGAGGTTTAACATTTTCGTACGATTTACTTATTTCTTACAGATTTATTATTATTAGTAAACTATAAGTGCATAGAAAAAAGAGCAGGAAACTGCATCCTGCTACCCGCAGCAATATGCGTCAAATAACTTTACTGAGGGGTCGACTGGGGCGTGAGTCTGGGGCAGGGCTTCTAGGTAGGTTGTTATCTTCGGCAGGGGGGGGAGGATTGTCGCATCGATGTAGAAGGGTGGCTTCACCACCCATAGAGTCTGCACGATGTGATACAGGGGGGAAATGACCGTGTATATCCGTGACCCCTCCTGTATCCGGGTCGTCCTCAAGATTCGGGGTGTCCCTATGGTAGCGCCCTTCGCCACCCACAGAGTCTNTAGCGCCCTTCGCCACCCACAGAGTCTGCACGATGTGATACAGGGGGGGAATGACCGTGTATATCCGTGACCCCTCCTGTATCCGGGTCGTCCTCGAGATTCGGGGTGTCCCTATGGTAGCGCCCGGGGGAAAGTGTCTACAACCCCTCCGAAGGCGGGGGTTGGTGTAGGTCTAGGTCTAGATAGAGAGGTCTGGGCCGCACCGCTATAGGGCTCCACTTGCAATAAAGATTAGGATGTAACAGGCCACAACAAATGACACCCGCTGGAGGAAAGACTGTCCTTGGGGTTGTCACAAGCCATCCGATCCCCTCACTGGTTGAGTACGACGGCAGTCACCTCCCGAGGCCTAGCATCCACCCTCTACCACGACATGGACCTTAAAAATAAAAAATAACAACAACAACAACAACAACAACAACAAACTAAATAATAGCTTCGACATTTGAGAAAAAAATGAAGCGCTGACACCAGGGAGAAGATTAAATTTAAATAATTCTAAAACAAAACAAAATAAAAAAACTGTTGGCGCAAAGTTACAAATGCAACCCTTCATAAACACCATTTGACTTTGATATAAACTTATAACCTAGGCTGTTTGGCCAGGCGCCCGGGGCACCCACCTTGTGCCCAGATACATGCAAGGGTGCCCGGGGGCCCAGCATCCCCAAAAAAAATCAAAAAAATCCGAAAAAAATAGGTTGCTGACGGTCACATCAGAGCAGCTACATCAGATCCTCACCGGATCGAAGATAAGAAAACAACAGAATCAGTCTCAGACACCCCCCTTTAAACCCCTTTAGCCCCTTAAAAACCAAATTATACCCCCCCTTGATAGCCAACACTCCAAAAAAGAAAGGAGCCCAGTCAGGGCTCCTCTGGGCATGTGCAGAAAACCCCAACCCAAAAAGCAAAAAAAAAAAGGGCTGATTTTTGCCTGCACATGGTGCTCCATGCAGGTGACACCTGGGTGACTTGCCCGGACTGCATCCCCGGGCAAGCCAAGTAGCCGAGCTTACAATCCCTGTTTCTTCAAAAAAGGGGACAGAAGGGGGCGGGGCAGGGGGGTGGGGTATGGAATTCCTTAACAAATTTGAACCTTTGATCTGTTTATCAACAGTTTACATATTTGTACAATTCTGCCACAAGCAAGGGACAACACTACTAGACTTCTAAAAATTCTGGCAGATTTCAAGTTGCAAAGCTACGTACTACGGAGATTCCAGACTTGACACTTTACCTTGGCTTACCAGAACGTTCAACTTCTTCTTCTTCTTCTTCTTCTTCTTCTTCTTCTTCTTCTTAAAAAAAAAAAAAAAAAAAAAAAAACAGGCCCTTATGG